AGTAGTAGCAGTAGCAGCAGCAGCAGCAGCAACGACAAGAACTCTTTCCAACAACAACAACAACAACAACAATTCCTCTTTCTGCCAGGTAGGAAAAGTACAAAGCACCCCCAACAAATGGCCACCCAGCCTTTGTAGTAGTAGTAGTAGTAGTAGTAGTAGTAGTAGTAGTAGTAGTAGCTATAACAACAATAATAATAGCAGAAATCACTGGGGCCATCCAGTCCAACCCCCTTCTGCCTGAGTGGTGGGAGGGAAATATGGTTTTGAAAGCGAGGAAGGCAAGGGGGAAGGGGTCTGGGTGGCGAGGAAAAAAGGCTTCTGGCGTTGAGGGAGGCAGGGAGGAGCAGGAAGGAAGAGGGAAGGGTTGGAGGGAGGAGGAAACCCGGAGCCCCTCGGTACGTTTAGCAGGGCCCTAAGGGCTCCGCGGAGCACACTCCAAGATCTGCTGCTCTAGGAGGTTCCTTCCTCCAACTTGGGCATTTTGGCTTCCAACTTCTCTCGTTCCTTGCAGTCCACACATTTGCACCACACTCTCTTCTCTACGATAAATTTAGGATTTGTCCATTTTTTTCCGGACTGCCAACTGACCCCGGTGGTGCAATATGGGTGTCCCAAGTGAATAGTTCCAAAAGTGCAATGTTAAAGACAAAATACCAAAGGGGTTTGAGAACACGGGAGGGGCTCCACAGCCAGAAAGAACAGGATGAGACTTTGACCCTGAATAATCTCAAGCTCCATCGTGGGTTTGTTTTGGCTTGCGTTGCATTTTGTTGGTGGGAGATGGAGGTGGGGAGTCCTGAGAAGAATACTACAGAGCCATCCAAGGGCGGGGTGGGACCTTCCTTCGGCATACAGCGGCAAAATGGAGCCAAACCCACGAATCTTAGTGAACCCTTGAACATATCCTCCGAGATCTCACAGCTGAAAACTAGGATATCTATGTGGCCAAGCAACATCAGAGTGTGGTTTAGATGGCAAACCTTATGAAGGAAGAATGACAAGCCCAGTAGGACAGGCTGCAGCAGTTTGCTTTTGCCCGAGTCAACTGGGAAGGTCTACGTTGCACCCCATTCTCCACTCTTGGCTTTTTTGGAACTCAGTCTAGAGCAGCGTTTCTCAACCTGGGGGTCGCGAGGCGTGTCAGAAGGGTCACCAAAGATTTCGGGAAATGGTAGTTGTGGGTGGATGGGACCCCATGGCAAGGATTGGTGAGTCCTAATAAGCATCTTGACTGGTTGTTGTCTCCTGAAGGACTGGGAGATACTGTTTTAGTAATGTGAAGCAGCACTGTCAAACGTTTCCATGACAAACATTTCCAAGTGTTGTGTGATTTCCAGGCTGGATGACCAATGTGCTCTAGCAGCATTTTCTCCTGACGTTTCGCCTGCATCTGTGGCTAATGGTATCTTCAGAGGATCTATAGCATCGTTTCTCAAACTGGGGGTCGCGAGGTGGGTGTCAGAGGGGTCTCCAAAGACCATCAGAAAACACAGTATTTTCTGTATTGTCGAAGGCTTTCATGGCTGGAATCACTGGGTTATTGTAGGTTTTTTCGGGCTATATGGCCATGGTCTAGAGGCATTCTCTCCTGACGTTTCGCCTGCATCTATGGCAAGCATCCTCAGAGGTAGTGAGGTCTGTTGGAACTAGGAAAAAGGGTTTATATATATCTGTGGAATGACCAGGGTGGGACAAAGGACTCTTGTCTGCTGGAGCTAGGTGTGAATGTTTCAACTGACCACCTTGATTAGCATATAATGGCCTGACAGTGCCTGGAGCAAACTTTGTTGAGAGGTGATTAGAAGTCCTTGTTTGTTTCCTCTCTGTTGTTGTGCTGTTGTAATTTTATACTTTTTTTTAATACTGGTCGCCAGATTTTGTTCATGTTCATGGTTTCCTCCTTTCTGTTGAAATTGTCCACATGTTTCTTGTGGATTTCAGTGGCTTCTCTGTGTCGCCTGACATGGTGGTTGTGAGAGTGGTCCAGCATTTCTGTGTTCCCAAATAATAATGCTGTGTCCAGGTTGGTTCATCAGGTGCTCTGCTATGGCTGACTTCTCTGGTTGAAGTAGCCTGCAGTGCCTTTCATGTTCCTTGATTCGTGTTTGGGCAATGCTGCTGCGTTTGGTGGTCCCTATGTAGACTTATCCACAGCTTCATGGTACACGGGAGACTCCTGCAGAAGTGAGAGGATCCCTCTTGTCCTTTGCTGAACGGAGCATCAGGTCCAACAGACCTCACAACCTCTGAGGATGCTTGCCATAGATGCAGGCGAAATGTCAGGAGAGAATGCCTCTAGATCATGGCCATATAGCCCGAAAAAACCTACAACAACACAGTATTTTCCGTTGGTCATGGGGATTCTGTGTGGGAAGTTTGGCCCAATTCTGTCATTTGTCGGGTAAAGAATGCTTTTTTTATTGTAGGTGAACTATACATCCCAGCAACTACAACTCCCAAATGTCAAAGTGTATTTTCCCCCAACTACACCAGTGTTTACATTTGGGCATATTGAGTATTTGTACCAAGTTCAGTCCAGATCCATCATTGTTTGAGTCCACAGTGCTCTCTGGACGTAGATGAACTACAACTTCCAAACTCAAGGACAATGCCCACTAAACCCTTCCAGTTGGTCATGGGGGTTGGTGGAGTTCAGAATGCTCTTTGATTGTAGGTGAACTTCAAATCCCAGCAACTACAACTCCCAAATGACAAAATCAACCCCCACCCATTAGTATTCAGATTTGGGCATATTGGGTATTTGTGCCAAAATTTGGTCCAGTGAATGAAAATACATCCCGCATATCCGATGTTTACATTGCGATTCGTGACAGTTATGAAGTGGCAATAAAAATAATATTATGGTTGGGGGTCACCACAACATGAGGAACTGTATTCAGGGGTCGCGGCATTCGGAAGGTTGAGAAACGCTGATATAAATGGATAGTCACATTGGAGGAAGTTTTCAATCAAATTTGCAAAAATCAAAGCTGCAATTGTGGGGGGAACAACCATATTCCTCAAACATAAGCTTAAGAAGAAGACATTTCTTCTCCTGGAATTGTCGTTCCGCCAAGGGAGATGTGGTAAAACCTATGGGGGATAATGGTTGGCGTTTGCAATTGCGTCTCCTCTAATTGCTTTCGAGCATGATGTGTCAGTTATGTTGGTGCAAAGGCATCTCAAAGTCTGCAGCGAGCTTTGCTCAGAGTTTACGAGCCTAACTCAAGTCGGGTGCCTTTGTTGTCCACGCTGCTTCTCTAAGCAAGACTCTCTGGCGCAAAGCCGTGCTCTGCCTCTCCCTTGGCTTTCAGGCCCTTGAATGCGGGGAATGCGCAGGCCACATTCCAGGACACGTTGGGCCGGCCGTTTCTCTGGTGACTTCATGGCAGGAATGCTGCTCAGAACAGGAAGGCAAGCCTCAGCCGCAATGCCTTCCCAAGCCATTGTTTGCGTGGTTTCGGGGGCGGACACCCCTCTTTTGTGTTTCCGCAGATCCCACCCATCTCTCTCATTGAACCCCAAAAGCATTCCAAGCGTGCCCCAAAGCCACAGGGTGGTAAACAAGGGAGAAGCTCATAACCCTATGTCCCACTGCCATCAACGATGCCCATCTTTCCGCATGAATTCCCCCCAAATCTCAAAGGAAGGAGGAATAAGACCCCATACCCAACCACTTAGTGAGTGTCAACCTTTCGATTCTTGTCCTTGTGGACCAAGGATGCATCTACATTGTCAACTTAACGCAGTTTGACACCACTTTAACCTTCATAGTTCGATGTTATGGATGATCAAGCTATAGTTTGATGAGGCACCAACCAATATCCTTTGGCAGATGATGATGATGGGCCCCCAGTGGTGCAGCGGGTTACACCGCAGAGCTGCTGACCTTGCTGACCGAAAGATTGGTGGTTCAAATCCGGGGAGCAGGGTGAGCTCCCACTGATTTTATCATTGAGGAGTCATAGTTGCTGGGATGTATAGTTCACCTACAATCAAAGAGCATTCTGAACTCCACCAATGATGGAATGGAACCAAACTTGTCACACAGAACTCCCATGACCAACAGAAAATACTGGAAGGGTTTGGTGAGCATTGACCTTGAGTTTTGGAGTTGTAGTTCACCTACATCCAGAGAGCACTGTGGACTCAAACAATGGTGGATCTAGACCAAACTTGGTTCAAATACTCAATATGCCCAAATGTGAACACTGGTGGAGTTTGGGGAAACTGGACCCTTACATTTGGGAGTTGTAGTTGCTGGGATTTACAGTTCACCTACAATCAAAGAGCATTCTGAACTCCACCAACTATGGAAATGAACCAAACTTGGCACACAGAACTCCCATGAGCAACATGGACCTTGAGTTTTGGAGTTGTAGTCCACCTACATCCAGAGAGCACTGTGTCCTCAAACAATTATGGATCTGGACCAAACTTGGCACCAATATTCAATATGCCCAAATGTGAACACTGGTGGAGACCTTGACATTTGGGAGTTTGTAGTTCCTGGGTTTTGGAGTTCCTGGGATTTGGAGTTCGCCTACAATCAAAGAGCACTCCGAGCCCAACCCACTGGATATGCACCAAACTTGGCATACTACCTATATGGCCAACATTGAATACTGGTGGGGTTGGGGGGCTGTTTTAGAATTCTGGGAATTCTAGTTCACCAACACCAAAAAGGAAGAGAAAGACACGTGGAGAGATCTTCAGCCTTCTCTGCCAAAGGAGTCCTTAAGACCATCAGAAATGTGTGTCTTCTGATGGTCTTTGGCGACCCCTCTGAAACCCCCTCGCAACCCCCTCCCAGACGTCGCGACCCCCAGGTTGAGAAACACGGGCCTAGAAGTTCCTAGAGAAGTGGTCCCTTTCCAAGTAAACAATACAACATTTTTTAAAATAGATGTTTTCCCATTTTTGGGGGTCGTAACTCCAGCCAATGCGTACTTCTCCATCCTTTCTGTAGAGTAAGTGCAGGTGCAGGCCATGAACTGTTAACAGACACACATATATATATTATATTTCACATAGAGATCTGGCTTAACATCTGAGAGAAAGCTTTACAGGCAGAGCCAACGGTCAAAGCTGCCCCCACGCCAACCCCAGTACCAACTGGTTCAAATGGCCCTCCCTCCATTTCCATTTACTACAGAGATCTGTGGATGTGCTGTTGGCCACAGAAGGGAGCAACATGGCCATTTGCCCTGGGGATGAAGGGGACCAGCAAGGCAGGACCCCTCGGAAGGAAGGCACGCTGCTTTGCCCAAACCATTAAGTGCCAAAGACGACTTGCAAATGCACACATTTGCCTTGGTAAGAGAACAATCCCACACCTAACAAGCTAGCTGGAAATGCACCGAGTTCCCCACGTCCTTTGTAGTTGAGGCATTCCCCATCTTGGGCATGCCGTTGCGGGCTGAATCGCGGAAAGGTGCAAAAAGAGGAAGGCGCAAGAGAGAGACCAGGGGAGCCTTCCATGAGATACTGGGAGGGAGGGAGGGCGGCTCCTTTCCTTTAGGACTGGGAGTAGACGGCCGTGGCGGTGCTGCCCCCTGCTGACCCTTGGTAGCGCTGCCGGGCGTGCTTCTCGCAGAACATCTCCTCGCCCACCCAAAAGTGGCCGCGCATCTTCAGGTTGAGGCCGCAGTCGGTACACGTGTAGCAGGAGGGGTGCCGGTAGCGGTTCTCGTGGATCCTCACCGCCTGGTTCCTGCCGGAGACACAAAGCGGGGCATGCCGCGTGAAAAGGGCGCACACCAACCCCATGCGCATACATTTGTGCAAACTAGCAGCAACCCAATGCACACACATGTTCATACAAACTCGCAGCCACCCAGTGAACACATACACATCCAGTGCACATACACACACGTTTGTGCAAACTCACAGCAGGAAGGAAAGGAAAGGAAAGGAAAGGAAAGGAAAGGAAAGGAAAGGAAAGGAAAGGAAAGGAAAGGAAAGGAAAGAAAGGAAAGGAAAGAAAGGAAAAAGGGAAAGGAAGAAGAGGAAGGGAAGGAAGGGAAGGGAAGGGAAGGAAGGAAAGGAAAGGAAAGGAAAGGAAAGGAAAGGAAAGGAAAGGAAAAAGGAAAGGAAAGGAAAAAGGAAAGGAAAGGAAAGGAAAGGAAAGGAAAAAGGAAAGGAAAGGAAAAAGGAAAGGAAAGGAAAGGAAAGGAAAGGAAAAAGGAAAGGAAAGGAAAAAGGAAAGGAAAGGAAAGGAAAGGAAAGGAAAAAGGAAAGGAAAGGAAAAAGGAAAGGAAAGGAAAGGAAAGGAAAGGAAAAAGGAAAGGAAAGGAAAAAGGAAAGGAAAGGAAAGGAAAGGAAAGGAAAAAGGAAAGGAAAGGAAAAAGGAAAGGAAAGGAAAGGAAAGGAAAGGAAAAAGGAAGGAAAGAAAAGGAAGGAAGAAGGGAAAGAAGGAAAGGGAGAGAGAAAGAAAAGAAGAAAGGGAGGGAGGGAAGGAAAAGGGAAGGAAATAAGAAAGGGAAGAAGAGGAAAGGAAAGGAAGAAAGGAGGGAGGAAAAAAGGAGGGAGGGATGAAAAAGAAGGAAAGGAAAGAGAGGGAGGAAGGAGGGGGGAGGGAAGAAGGAAGGGGAAGGAGGAAGGAAAGGAAGAGAAGGAAGGAAGGAGGGAGGAAAGGAAGGAGGGAAAGACGGAAGAAAGGAAAGAAAAGAGAGGAAGGGAAGGGAAGAGAGGAAGGGACGGAATGATGTAGTTTAATTCCACTGTATTCATTATATGTTGTTTGCACTGTTGCTTTTGTGAGCTGTCCCAAGTCTCCTTGGGGAGATGGGGCGGGATATAAATAATAATAATAATAATAATAATAATAATTATTATTATTATTATTATTATTATTATTATTATTATTATATGTGCTTTCTGATGGTGCAATGTACACCAATTTGTTTCATGCACTAACCTATTAAAATATTGTATACAATTATCTTCAGGCTCTTTAAATCCGGTATGAATTGAATGTCTCTTATTCCCATGCTCTATTTTAACTGCGTTGTGCCCTGCCTTGAGCTCTGAGGTGAGGTGGGCAACAAATCCAAAAGTACAATTATTACTACACATAAGTTAATATCATTGTTGAGACTTGGGTCCCATCTCCAAAATAATGCATTACACTATGTAACCCAATTTCCGTTCCTGGTGCCCATCGACCTACCTGAGAGATGAAGGGGACAGGATTCCACCTGTGTTTATACTGCCAAGCTATGTCCCATAGCATGACTGCCCCCCTAAAAATAAATCCCATTCTGTTTTTGCCCCCTCCGTGAATGAAGAATACTCACGTGATGCCGCCACCGCATTTCTCACAGGTGTGCATCACCTTTGGGCTGCTGCCGGTCGCAGAACTATTGACCGGTTTGTGAGCGCTGGGAGACAGCTGGCTGGGGAAGTGAGTGGCCGTGCCATCTGTTGAAACAATACGGAGGATGTCAGGCCCAAATCTGGGGAAAAGTTTGCGTATAGATGCCACAAGTTGAACATGAGTCAACAGTGTGATGCAGCAGCTAAACAAACTAGCACAATTCTAGGCTGTATTATTAGAAGAGTCCAGACCAGGCATGGGCAAACTTGGGCCCTCCAGGTGTTTTGGACTTCAACTCCCACAATTGCTAACAGCCTCAGGCCCTTTCCTTGATGATGAAACCATGGACCATCTCCTCAGCTGCTGCAAGAAAATCACACAGACGGACTACAAACAGAGGCACAACTCTGTGGCCCAAATGATTCATTGGAACTTATGTCACAAGGACCATCTGCCAGCAGTAAAAAAATTGGTGGGATCATAAACCTGCGAAGGTAATGGAAAACGAACAAGCAAAACTTGGATCTGTGCGCATCATTCGAAAATACATCACACAGTCCTAGACGCTTGGGAAGTGTTCGTCTTGTGAATTTATGATACAAAATCCAGCATAGAGATCTCATTTGCTGTGGCATACTGTGTTTTTGTGTCAGTAAAATAATTATAGTAATAATAATATAAGACTCTGGCACAAACCAGTCAAGGTGGTCCCAGTGGTGATCGGCACACTGGGTGCAGTGCCTAAAGACCTTGGCCTGCACTTAAACACAATCAGCACTGACAAAATTACCGTCTGCCAGCTGCAAAAGGCAGGGTATTAAATCAAGACTATTATTATTATTATTATTATTATTATTATTCACCCATACAGAGTCCTAGACACTTGGGAAGTGTCCGGCGTGTTATCCAATACAACAGCCAGCAGAGTGATCTTGTTTGCTGTGGACTCATCTTGTTGTGTTTCAAATAATAACAACAGTAATAATAATAATAATAATAATAATAATAATAATAATAATAATTCACCAATACGTCACACAATCCTAGACACTTGGGAAATGTCCAACATGTGATCCAATGCAGCAGCCAGCAGAGTGTCTGCTGTGGGCTCATCTTGTGGTGTTTCTAATAATAATAATAATAATAATAATAATAATAATAATAATAACTATTATTATTATTATTATTTTATTATTATTCACTGTTACATCACACGGTCCTAGACACTTGGGAAGTGTCTGACGTGTGATCCAATACAACAGCCAGCAGAATGATTGTGTTTGCGGTGGACTCATCTTGTTGCATTTCAAATAACAACAACAACAACAACAACAACAAGCCGGAAAAAGTTACAGAAAATGAATATGTCAAGCTACTCTGGGACTTCCGGATTCAGACAGAGCTTTGGAGCACAATGCTCCTGACCTCACGGTTGTGTTAAAAAACAAAGTATGGATTGTCGATCCCAGGTGACAACAGGATTGCAGAGAAACAACTGGAGAAGCTGACACGATATGAGGATTTAAAGATCGAACTGCAAAGACTCTGGCACAAGCCAGTCAGGGTGGTCCCAGTGGTGACCGGTACATTGGGTTCAATGCCCAAAGACCTTGGCTTGCACTTAAATACAATCGATGGTGACAAAATTACCATCTGTCAGCTGCAGAAGGCCACCTTACTGGGATCTGTACGCATTATTCACTGATACATCACATAGTTCTAGACACTTGGAAAGGGTCCGACGTGTGATCCAATACATCAGCCAGAAGAGTGTCTACTGTGGACTTATCTTGTGGTGTTTCTAATGATGATGATGATGTGTCTGCTCGTAATTGCAGCTGTAAACTATTGTAATGAATCAGTGTTTTCATTTTACCAACATTTAATATTAATGACATCAAGGAACTTTTTTAAAACGAAGGAAATGCAAGATAAATGTGAGCTCAGAAGCTGAAATGTCTTCTTTTTCACTCATTTCCTTTTATGTCAACAGAATGCAAATATGCCCAGATACAATCAAGCTTTGAAGACACCTCTCCGCCGATTACAGGTTGCAGCGTAGCCTCGCAGATATGGACAATGCACCCTTTCATCTTCAAAGCTCTCCCTTGCCTCCAACGTCAACAACACTGTGCATCTGCTCAAGCAACCGACATGGGGCAAGAGAGCAAGAAAAGGAAGGGCATTGCATAGGAACACATTTTGTGCTGTCACACGCTGGGCCTGTAGCAATTGTCTATTAACAGGACGTGATCTTTATGTGCCCAGCGGGACGCCAGGGTGCCTCGGCTGAGAGGACCTATGAATTCCCCTACACAAAGTCTTTAGAAGCTAGGAAAGTTTAACGAAGTTCTTTATCGGTGCAACAAATCAGTCAAATACTTCTTAGATCTTCAACAAATCAACCAAACATTTCTTAACTTGTCCACAATGGACAGGCAACTAGGTTCATGAACTGTTTCTTTCTTCTATGAGGGAAATCCTTTTGACCCCTCCCTGGGCAATCTGTCTTTTAGGCTTAGCTGGCGTGGGGCCCTATTCCCGGTTCCAATTTGCTTTATGGGTACCCGAGTGGACCTTACTGGCTAAAACTCTGAAGATTTTCCAGTTGGAGTCCTTTGGATTTTTTCCGTAAATGCTGTGGATCTGTTTCTTTAACCCCAACAAGGGCTGTGCTGTATTTCTTAGTAAAGGCACCGGGATGGTGGCGCAGCTGGCTGAGTGTCAGCTCCATTAAGATCACTCTGACCAAAAGGTCATGAGTTCGAAGCCAACCCGGGTTGGAGTGGGTTTCCAACCAATTGTGTGTAGCCTGTTGTCGACCTTTGCAACCCGAAAGACAGTTGCATCTGTCAAGTAGGAAAATTAGGTACCACCTTAAAGTGTGGGGAGGCTATATTAACTGATTTATGAGGCCATAAAGAAGACTCCAGCAAAGCATTCCAGCGGGGAAGCATGCGGGGAATGCGGAAGTGCTTCATCAGCGTCGCAGATGGACGATGAAAGCGACAGCTCCCCTGGTGGCCAGAAAAAGTGAAATAGCCTCTGTGTATGTCTGTATATGTTTGTATGTCAAAAATTGGCATTGAATGTTTGCCATATATGTGTACACTGTAATCCGCCTTGAGTCCCCTGCGGGGTGAGGAGAAGGGCGGAATAGAAAAGCTGTAAATAAATAAATAAAATAAAATAAAGGTGTGAGAATTGTCTTCCCCAGCCAAATTTGTAAGAAACGAAGCTTTTCTACAGGAGGGAAAAACTCACACGGCCTGTAGTTGGGCTTCAAACTGTAAGACTGAACAAACTGTCTCTTTTTCCCTCCTGAACCTGGGGAAAAGGGCGGTTCCAAAAGTCCCAACGATGATAGGCAGGCTGCTAGCCTATGACTGCAGCCTGGAGGAAGCTGCTAAACTGCAAAATGCCTGGCTAACAGAAACATGTGCAAACTAACCATGCATAGAGAAAGGAAATTTAGCTTCTGGCACAGCTGTGCCAGCACACATTTCAAAGTGGCAGTTGCACCTTTTCCTCCTGACATGTGGACTTTCGTGTCAGAGATTGACGCTGCCCAGCAGAAGGAATGCTAGATCAAACAGACACTGATTTGCAAATAAGGACTCTGCAAGCTTTGAGTTACAAAAGAAAACTAAGTTTTACTAATCACACACAGCAAACACATCTTTCTTCAGTGAGCGACATACAGGAAGAGGACTAGTCAAAACCGAAAGCCCAAACACTTCTGCACATCTGCTTATCTTCTCTTGCTTGAAGCTGGCAACTCCCTTCAGATTCTCACCAGAACAAAGCTTATCTTACTTTCTCAAGTTCACTTAATCACAGCCGCAACTCTAAACATTTCTGTACAACGTTTTCAATTCACAGTGGCATCCATATTTGCAATACATAGAAGCACATTGAAAACACATACATAACTCAATAAATCCTGACAATGCCCGCTCTATGTTATTCACTTAGACAGGAGGAGAGGCACGCGAGGGTGCGTTTTGGCTGCCCACCTTTTTCATCCAACTCCAGAGCCACCTGCAGCATGCGGAAGGTGCTCGACTGCCGCGGAGGAGCCCTGGTTTCGCGGTTTTCTTGCATCATCTTGTACACTTCCGAGTCCCCTTCCAAACGATGCATGGCTGCCTCTGAATCCAGGCTAGAGAAAGAAAGAAAGAAAGAGCAAGCGCACTGCGGTTAGATTTGAGCATCCCTCAAGCTTTCCTTGATCCAGGAGGGCAGGACAAACCAGTCTTTGGTCATCTTTTTCTGCAGAGCCTGGAAAAAAAGAGGTGGGGCTGGGAATAGGCAACCAGCAAGGAGTATCTGGAAAGGAAGGCTTCAGAAGAAGGTTGAGACATTCCTGGAGTCTTGCATGGAGAAGCAGGACCCAGAGAAGGTCCCACAACCACCCAATGTGGAACTTCACTTGCAGCAGGTTGAGAAGCCATCTCTCCACCATCTCAAAAGAAGCACTTTGGTGTGGTTTCTGGGCCTGAATGGCTGGGTTCTGTCTATGAATGTCTATAGATCAGAGTCTCTCAACCTTCTTAATGCCGCGACCCCTTAATACTGTGGTGACCCCCAAACATGACATTATTTTCGTTGCTACTTCATGACTCTCATTTTCTTACTGTTATGAACCGTTATGTAAATCTCTGATATGCAAGATGTATTTTCATACACTGGATCAATTTTGGCATAAATACCCGATCTGTCCAAATTTGAATACTGGTGTGGTTGGGGAGAGATTGATTTTATCATTTGGGAGTTATAGTTGCTGGGATTTCTAGTTCACCTACAATCCAAGAGCATTCTGAGCTCCACCAACTATGGAATTGAACCAAACTTGGCACACAGTTCTCCCATGACCAACAGAAAATACTGGAAGGGTTTGGTGGACATTGACCTTGAGTTTTGGAGCTGTAGTCCACCTACATCCAGAGAGAACTGTGAACTCAAACAAGGATGGATCTGGACCAATCTTGGCACAAATACTCAATCTGCTCAAATGTGAACACTGGTGGCGTTTGGGGAAAATAGACCTTGACACTTGGGAGTTCTAGTTGCTGGGATTTATAGTTCACCTACAATCAAAGTGCATTCTGAACCCCACCAATGATGGAATAGAACAAAACTTGGCACAAAGAACTCCCATGACCAAGAGAAAATACTGGAAAGATTTGGTGGACATTGACCTTGAGTTTTGGAACTGTAGTTCACCAACATCCAGAGAGCACTCTGGACTCAAACAGTGATGGATCTTTACCAAACATGGCACAAATACTCAATATGTCGAAATGTGAACACTGGTGGAGTTTGGGGAAAATAGACTCTGACATTTGGGAGTTGTAGTTGCTGGGATTTATAGTTGAACTACACTCAAAGAACATTCTGAACCCCACCAACGATGGAATTGAACCAAACTTCCCACACAGAACGTCCACAACCAACAGGAAAAACTGGAAGGGTTAGGTGGGCATTGACCTTGAGATTGGGAGTTGTAGTTCACCTATATCCAGAGAGAAGTGTGGACTCAAACAAGGATGGATCTGGACAAAACTTGGTACAAATACTCAATATGGCCAAATGTGAACATTGGTGGAGTTTGGGGGAAATAGACCTTGACATTTGGGAGTTGTAGTTGCTGGGATTTATAGCTCAACCACGACCAAAGAACATTCTGAACCTCACCAATGATAGAATTGGACCATATTGTGTTTTCTGCTGGTCTTTGGAGACCCCCTGACACTCCCGTCATGACTCCCAGGTTGAGAAACGACCCTATAGACCCTCTGAAGATGCCATTAGCCACAGAAGCAGCCGAAATGTCAGGAGAAAGTGCTGCTAGAGCACATTGGTCATCCAGCCTGGAAATCACACAACATCCCAGTGATTCCGACAATGTCAACAACCAGTCAAGATGCTTATTAGGACTCGCCAATCCTTGCCATGGGGTCCCATCCACCCGCAGCTGCCATTCCCAAAATCCCACCTACCTAAGCTGCTCAGACCAAGAGAAAGCCTTTTCCTGGCTGTGTCCTTTGAAGGTTTATGGAGCATGGCACCTCCAGGAAATGAATCACAGAGAAGGCATATAAGGCAGTATTTGGAGTTGTTGTAGGTTTTTTCAGGCTATATGGCCATGGTCTAGAGGCATTCTCTCCTGACGTTTCGCCTGCATCTATGGCAAGCATCCTGAGAGGTAGTGAGGTCTGCTGGAACTAGGAAAAAGCGTTTATATATCTGTGGAATAATGTCCAGGGTGGGACAAAGGACACTTGTCTGCTGGAGCTAGGTGTGAATGCTTCAACTGACCACCTTGATTAGCATATAATGGCCTGACAGTGCCTAGAGCAATCTTTTGTTGAGAGGTGATTAGATGTCACCATGTCAGCCTACACAGAGAAGCCATTGAAATCTACAAGAAGCATGTGGACAATTTCAACAGAAAGGAGGAAACCATGAAAATGAACACAATCCGGCTACCAGTATTAAAAAACTCTAAAATTACAACAGCAAAACAACAAAGTGGAAACAAACAAGGACATCTAATCACCTCTAACAAAAGATTGCACCAGGCACTGCCAGGCCATCAAATGCTAATCAAGGTGGCCAGTTGAAACATTCTCACCTAGCTCCAGCAGACAAGAGTCCTTTGTCCCACCCTGATCATTCCACAGATATATAAACCCCTTTTCCTAGTTGCAACAGACCTCACTCCCTCTGAGGATGCTTGCCATAGATGCAGGCGAAACGTCAGGAGAGAATGCCTCTAGTCCATGGCCATATAGCCCGGAAAAACCTACAACAACCCAGGCCATTATATGCTAATCAAGGTGGTCAGTTGAAACATTCCCACCTAGCTCCAGCAGACAAGAGTCCTTTGTCCCACCCTGGTCATTCCACAGATATATAAATGCTTTTTCCTAGTTCCAGCAGACCTCACTCCCTCTGAGGATGCTTGCCATAGATGCAGGCGAAACGTCAGGAGAAAATGCCTTTAGAACATGGCCATATAGCCTGAAAAAACCTACAACAACCCAGTGATTCCGGCCATGAAAGCCTTTGACAATAGTATTTGGAGTCTTTCCTTCCTGCCAAAGACCCCCCTAGCCCTGTTTCCCTCTCACCTGAAAGCTTCCTTCCTGGTTGGCTTCAGGTGTTACCTGGCTCTCTTTGGCTCTTTCCGTGTGCATGCGGGACACTCCCTGTACATGACGCAGGGTGTCCCGACTTGCCCAACCTCCCGGCCTGTCAGCAGCACCTTTGCATTAACCCTCACCTTGCCAAGACAAAGAGGCCCAAAGGTTGAATTTCCCTCATCCGAAATGCTTGGGACCAGAAGTGCTTTGGAGTTTGGGGGAAACCTATTTGCATATACGCACAGAATGAAATAACTTGGAGCCACATTGACACACAAACTTATATTTATCTTTCATGTAGCCTGAAGGTAATTTTCTACACAAAAATTCAATAAATTTGGTTACAAAACAATGCACCATATATATTCGAGCATAAGCAGAGTTTTTCAGCCCCTTTTTAAGGCTTATACTCGAGTCACAGTTATTTTTTCTCTCTGTTATTACTATTATTACATTTATTATTTTAATTTGTATAATTATGGTTATTATTACATTTCCATTATTTTACTCTATTATTATTATTATTATTATTACATTTATTATTTTACTCTATTATTACAAGAGATGGGCCAAAACCAACAAAATGAAGTTCAACAGAAACAAATGCAAGATGCTCCACTTAGGAAAGGAAAAACGAAATGCAAAGAGACAGAATGGGGGACGAGGAGGCCTGGCTCGAGAGCAGGACGTGTGAAAAAGATCTTGGAGTCCTCGTGGGGAGGAAGTTAAACATGAGCCAACAATGTGATGTGGCGGCAAAAAAAGCCAATGGGATTTTGGCCTGCATCAATAGGAGCCTAGTGTCTAGATCTAGGGAAGTCATGCTCCTCATGCTCTATTCCGCTTTGGTTAGACCACTACCTGGAATATTGTGTCCAATTCTGGGCACCACAATTCAAGAGAGATATTGACTCTAAGCTGGAATGTGTCCAGAGGAGGGTGACTCAAAGGATCAAGGGTCTGGAGAACAAGCCCTATGAGGAGCGGCTTAAGGAGCTGGGCATGTTTAGCATGAAGAAGAGAAGGATGAGAGGAGATATGATAGCCATGTATAAATATGTGAGAGGAAGCCACAGGGAGGAGGGAGCAAGCTTGTTTTCTGCTTCCTGGAGACTAGGACGCGGAACAATGGCTTCAAACTACAAGAAGAGGAGATTCCATCTGAACATGAGGAAGAACTTCCTGACTGTGAGAGCCGTTCAGCAGTGGAACTCTCTGCCCCGGAGTGTGGTGGAGGCTCCTTCTTTGGAGGCTTTGAAACAGAGGCTGGATGGCCATCTGTCAGGGGTGATTTGAATGCAATATTCCTGCTTCTTGGCAGAACGGGGTTGAACTGGATGAAGGCCCAGGAGGTCTCTTCCAACTCTTTGATTCTATGATTATAATTACATTTCCATTATTTTTCTCTTTTTTTATTATTTTATTACATTTATCATTTTACTCTATTTATAATATTATTATTATACTCTATTATTATTATTGCATTTATTATTTTGCTCTATTTATAATAATAATAATAATAATTATTATTATTATTATTATTATTATTATTATTATTATTATTGCAGCTTCAAAGCCTGGCTGGTTGCTGCCTGGGGGAATCCTTTGTTGGGAGGTGTTAGATGGCCCTGGGCATTCCACAGATATATAAACCCCACTTGCCTAGTTTCCAACAGACTTCACAACCTCTGAGTATTAGCATTTAATGGCCTTGAAGCTTCAAAGCCTGGCTGGTTGCTGCCTGGGGGATCCTCTGTTGGGAGGTGTTAGATGGCTGTGGACATTCTACAAATATATAACCCCCTCTTGTCTAGTTTCCAACAGACCCCATAACCTCTGATGATTAGGATTCAATGGCTTTGCAGCTTCAAAGCCTGGCTGGTTGCTGCCTGGGGGATTCCTTTTTTGGGAGGTGTTAAATGGCCTTGGACAATTTATAAACCCCACTTGCCTAGTTTCCAACAGACCTCGCAACCTCTGAGGATTAGGATTCAATGGCCTTGCAGCTTCAAAGCCTAGCCGGTTGCTGCCTGGGGATCCTTTGTTGGGAAGTGTTAGATGGCTGTGGACATTCTACAAATATATAAACCCCACTTGCCTAGTTTCCAACAGACCTCACAACCTCTGAGGATTAGGATTCAATGGCCTTGCAGCTTCAAAGCCTGGCTGGTTGCTGCCTGGGGGATTCCTTTGTTGGGAGGTGTTAAATGGCCTTGGACATTCTACAAATATATAAACTCCACTTGCTTAGTTTCCAACTGATGGTGTGTGAAGCTGCCATGATCCTCCCCAAAGGTCTGACAAAGCTTGGGAGAGGCAACATAAACATAAGTACAGGTGAGCGACTAGGTAACACAGGACGGCTCACCTGTAGCTGCGATGGAAAGGGCTGGAGGGGCTCCGGTTGTGTTCCTTCCGGATCTCCCAAGGGCTGCAGAGAGTGTAAGATCCTGACGATGGAGAGCCATTCAGCGGAGGAAGACCGGACAACGGAGGCCCACTCGGAGGGGTGAAGCTCCTCCGTTCCTGTAGGAAGCAGAAGAAGAAAAGAAAAAAGGAATGGGCAAGGTGTCAAGACACTAGGTAGCAACACCAACACTGACATTCCCGCTGGCTGCATTTTAGCACTCGGCTCCGTCGCATGGTTAGAACCAAACTATTTCATTTGTAGTTCTCATCCACAAAATAAACCAGTTACTGCATGGCGCAGCGGGTCAAACCGCTAAGTTTGGTCTAGATCCATCGTTGTTTCAGTCCACATTTATCTCGGGACGTAGGTGAACTACAACTCCCAAACTCAAGGTCAATGCCCACCAAACCCTTCCAATATTTTCTGTTGGTCTTGGGAGTTCTTTGTACCAAGTTTGGTTCAATTCCATCAGTTCAGAATGCTCTTTGATATATAAACTATAAATCCCAGCAATCACAACTCCAAAATGCCGAAATCAACTCCCTCCCCACTCCACCACACAAGTACTCAAATTTGGGAGTATTGGGTCATTGTGCCAAATTTGGTCCGATGAATGAAAATCCATCCTGCATATCAGATATTTACATTACGATTAATAACAGTGGCAAAATGACAGTTCTGAAGGGGCAACGAAAATAGTGCCAAGGTTGGGGGGTCACCACAACATAAGGCAGTGGTTCTCAACCTGGGGGTCGTGACACCTGGGGGGGTCACGAGGGGGTTTCAGAGGGGTCGCCAAAGACCATCCAGAAACATAGTATTTTCTGTTGGACATAGGGGTTCCATGTGGGAAGGTTGGCCCAATTCTATCATCGGTGGCGATCAGAATGATCTTTGATTGTAGGTGAACTATAAATCCCAGCAACTAAAACTCTCAAATGCCAAGGTCTATTTTCCCCAAACTCCACCAGTGTTCGTTCACATTGGGCATGTTGAGTATTCGTGCCAAGTTTGGTCCAGATCCATCATTGTTTGAGTCCATAGTGCTCTCTGGATGTAGGTGAACTACAACTCCAAAACTCAAAGTCAATGCCCACCAAACCCTTCCAGTATTTTCTGTTGGTCATGGGAGTTGTGTGCCAAGTTTGGATCAATTCCATTATTGGTGAAGTTTGGAATACTCTTTGTAGGTGAACTATAAATCCCAAAAACTAAAACTCTCAAATGCCAAGGTCTATTTTCCCCAAACTCCACCAGTGTTCATTCACATTGGGCATGTTGAGTATTCATGCCAAGTTTGGTCCAGATCCATCATTGTTGAGTCCACAGTGCTCTCTGGATGTAGGTGAACTACAACTCCAAAACTCAAGGTCAATGCCCACCAAACCCTTCCAGTATTTTCTGTTGGTCATGGGAGTTCTGTGGGCCAAGTTTGGTTCAATTCCATCATTGGTGGAGTTCCTCTTTGATTGTAGGTGAACTATAAATCCCAGCAACTACAACTCCCAGATGACAACATCAATCCCCTGCCAACCCCACCAGTATTCAAATTGGGGCATATCACGTATTTGTGCCAAATGTGGTCCAGTGAATGAAAATGCATCCTGCATATCAGATATTTATATTATGATTCATAACAGTAGCAAAATTAGAGTTGTGAAGTAGCAACAAAAATAATATGATGGTTGGGGGTCAACACAACATGAGGAACTGTATTAAGGGTCGCAGAATTAGAACTGACATAAGGAATTGTCTTAAGGAATGGCGGTATTAGGAAGGTTGAGAAACAGTGATATAGAGCATATCAAGTTTAAAGTCTTCCTAGAAGCCAACAAAACTATTGTAGTTTGGGTATCGTGAGAATACGTGGTTCAATAGTACAGAGAATAATGAAGAACGCCGTAGGAAAACAAGAAGACTGGCTGTTGATGATAGCGGGACGTGGAGGTCTCTCACACTGTAAGTTGAAGTCAACTCGACAGCAGTTTACAACAACAAAGGCAAGGAAAGAGAAAATGACGAGGTTTGCATGTTTTTATGAACAAACTCCTCCTTGAAGAGTTACTGCCTGCCCTAAAACACCTTTAGGTGGAAGCATCTGACTCATCAAAAGCCATCCTTCCACAGATTGGGTTGTTGTGGGGTTTTTCAGGCTATGTGGCCATGTTTTAGAGGCATTCTCTCCTGACGTTTCGCCTGCATCTCTGGCAAGCATCCTCAGAGATTGTGAGGCCTCTTGGAACTAGGAAAATTGGGTTTATATATCTGTGGAGTGACCAGGGTGGGACAAAGGACTGGCTACCAGTATTTAAAAACTCTAAAATTACAACAGCAAAACAAGAGAGGAAACAATCAGGGACTTCTAATCACCTCTCAACAAAAGATTGCCCCAAGCACTGCCAAGCCATCAAATGTTAATCAAGGTAGTCAGTTGAAACATTCACACCTAGCTCCAGCAGACAAGAGTCCTTTGTCCCACCCTGGTCATTCCACAGATATATAAACCCATTTTCCTACTTCCAACAGACCTCGCTACCTCTGAGGATGCTTGCCATAGATGCAGGTGAAATGTCAGGAGAAAATGCCTCTAGAACATGGCCATATAGCCCAAAAAAACCTACAACACACAGCATATTATTTAGGAACACAAAAATGCTGGACCACTCTCACAACCACTATGTCAGATTACACAGAGAAGCCATTGAAATCCACAAGAAGCATGTGGACAATTTCAACAGAAAGGAGGAAACCATGAAAATGAACAAAATCTGGCTCCCAGCATTAAAAAACTCTAAAATTGCAACAGCACAACAGCAGAGGGGAAACAAACAGGCACATGAAATCACTCTCAACAAAAGATTCCCTCAGGCACTAACAAGCCACACCAAACAACTGCCAGGCCATCAAATGCCAATCAAGGTGGTCAGTTGAAACATTCACACCTAGCTCCAGCAGACAAGAGTCCTTTGTCCCACTCTGGACCATCCACAGAAATATAAACCCAGTGATTCTAGCCACGAAAGCCTTCGACAATACAGTTACAACATTCCCATCTGGTTGCTTCAATGCAATGCACTGAACAGAAGAGGGCACCCAAGGTCCACAACGCCAAGTCCGCCAACCCCATAGGAAGAGCAGAGTTGCAACTCAGAGTTGCAGGGATACAACTGCAGCGAGGGCAATGAGAATGCAAAAGAGGGAAACCTTTGCCCAGTAATCCAGATTGCACTGCGGCAAATCACAGCAGGCAATACTGGCCTCGATGGGTCGTTTGGTCAGTCCAAGGGATGGCCACTCTTCAAGCGTCACGGGCAGTACAAGAAAGTAAGAAAACCACAGCTCGGGGGAAAGAGAGGAAAAGTTACTTTCGGGAAGGTTCAATATGATGACACAGTGAAACCATCCACAATTGAGCAAACAGAGAGTAGACAGCCCTGCTGAATGTGGTTTTTTGAGCAAGCATTTGCAAATCGCCTGTTATGACAGACATAAGGCGGTCATTCTTGTGCTTTCCATATCTGCTGGAATATGGCATGCCAAACTTTACAGGATTTTGATTTACTAGCTATTCATATACATTGAGTTTCAAGACTTGTGCGCCAGTTGCGCCCATACCTTGGGAAGCCTGATCTGGCCACAGTGGTCCACGCTCTTGTTACATCCCGAATAGATTACTGCAACGCGCTCTATGCGGGGTTGCCTTTGAAGACTGTTCCGAGACTTCAATTAGTCCAGTGGGCGGCGGCCAGATTACTCACCGGAGCGTCGTACAGGGAGCACACCACCCCCCTGTTATGTCAGCTCCACTGGCTGCCGATCCAGTTCCGAGCATAATTCAAAGTGCTGGTTTTGACCTACAAAACCCTATACGGTTCCGGCCCAGTGTATTTGTCCAAACGGATCTCCCTCTACATCCCACCTCGAAGTTTAAGATCTCTGGGGAGGCCCTGCTCTCGACCCCGCCATTGTCACAAGTGAGGCTGGCGGGGACGAGAAGCAGGGCCTTCTCAGTGGTGGCCCCCCACCTGTAGAACTCACTTCCCGGGGAGATTAGATCGGCGACTTCCCTTCTGGCGTTTAGGAAAAAACTGAAGACCTGGGTGTGGGATCTCCCTCTATGTCCCGCCTCGGAGTTTAAGATCTCTGGGGAGACCCTGCTCTCAGCCCCACCTCTATCACAAATGAGATTGGTGGGGACGAGGAGCAGGGCCTTCTCGGTGGTGGCCCCTCACCTGTGGAATTCACTCCCAGGGGAGATTAGGTCATCGACATCCCTCCTCTCTTTCAGAAGGAAATTAAAAACATGGATATGGGACCAGGCCTTTGGGTAATCTGGCAGACTGACAATGGACAATGACGACTAGAATTGGACAGGATTATGACAATGCGGAATGAACTTATGGATTTTGAGATTGGTGAACGTTGATCATTAGATTGGTTTTTATTAGCTATGATGTATAATTGATTGTTTTAATTACTGTTTATATATGTTTATTTTTATCTTATTGTTGTGTTGGCATCGAATTGTGCCTTTTGTAAGCCGCCCTGAGTCCCCCCTTGGGGGTTGAGAAGGGCGGGGGAGAAGCGCGAGAAATAAATAAATAAATTATTAGAGCACAAAAAATGGCATTTTGCTAAATATGATGCACACACAAATTGATTACCCTTCAGATAAGGGGGTCTAGCTCAGCAACTATTGCAGTCAGAGACCTCAAATTCTGGGACACTTGGTTTAACACCTGACTGGCACTACAACTAAAATTTGAACAAAATTGGAGACATAATGGTGGGAAGGTTTAAGCCACTTGGCGCAGAATGACCCCGACATGCTTCTTAGGCCTTTCAAACAATGCGGAATGTGGCCTAGAGCTGGTTATCAGGAACACGTGGTTGCCTTCGGTACAGCAGCCAAAGGGACTTGAGCCAATGGAAAGTGCTGATGGTTATCTTCAAAGCCTTAATGGTTTTAAGACTAGGATACTGGACTAGGATACTGCCTCCACTCACGTGAGCTGGCTTGCTCATTGACATCTTCTGGAGAGGTTCCCTTCTGTGACCCACTCACATCTGAGTTGCATTTGTTTGGGATCCCGGACACAAGAGGCCTTCTTGGCAG